CCAGCACTACTACTACTACCAGTAGTACTACAACGAGCAGCACCACTGCTGCCAGCACTACCACTACCAGCACTGCTACTACCAGCATTACTACTACCAGCATTACTGCCACCAGTATTACTACCACCAGCATTACTGCTACCAGTATTACTGTCACCAGCATTACTGCTACCAGCACTGCTACTACCAGCACTACTACTACCAGCAGTACTGCCACCAGCATTACTACTACCAACACTACTGCTACCGGTACTACTACTACTACTACCAGCAGTGAAAGTACTACAAGCAGCAGTACTACTACCACGGCTATCAGCAGTACCTCAAGTGGCACTGCAGCGAGCAGTGACAGTATTATAAGTAGCACTACTACTACCACGGCTATCAGCAGTACTTCAAGTAGTACTACCTCAAGCACCAGCAGTACCTCAAGTAGCACTACTACCACCACTACCAGTACCACTACGAGCAGCAGTAGTACCACAAGTAGCACTACCACAAGCACCAGCAGTAGTACTTCAAGTAGTACTACCACAAGCACCAGCAGTACCTCAAGTAGCACTACTACCACCAGTACTACAACCAGCAGTAGCAGTACCACAAGTAGTACTACCACTACCACTAGCAGTACTTCAAGTAGCACGACATCCACAACAACTTCCCAAAGATTAAATATTAATGAAAGTAATAATATGAATAATATAAAAAATAATTTATCGACTTTTCTTTTCTAAATTAGCTTGTTATTCACCAACGGTTACATTAATTCCTGGACAATCATCTCTATCATCTCCAATTTCTTATCGACGTAGTCAAGATTTTTCTATTAGCTCAATGATTCAATTTAATTGTGATGGTTCACTTTCAACAACTACAAAATGGACAATAAAGAATTGTACTTCAACTAGTTGTTCGTTTGAAATTCAATTAAGTGAAGAAGTTATTGCAACATTTAGTGAACTTTATATTCCATCAAGAACTCTTAATTATGGTGTTTATCAACTAGCATTAACTGTAACAATAATTGGTTCACCGAACTTAAAATCATCATCTTCAGTTTATGTAAGAATAACTGCAACAGGTATAACAGCAAATCTTGTTCAATTAGGAACATCGATGATAACACGTGGTAATGAACAAGATATTTTACTTGATCCTGGAACATTTTCAGTTGATCCTGACGAAGATACATTTGATGCAACTGTAAGTAATATCTGTAGGTGAATAATCAAATAGTTTTTTTTAATTTTTAATTATAGAAATGGAAATATACGTATTATTGTCGAATTTATGGTTCATATAATTTCCCAAATCTACAAGGAATATTATTATCAATTGATGAATCAACAATTGATCCTTATAATCCATCATGTTTGTCAACTCGATCAGGTAAAATTATTAATGAAAATCTAGATCAATCATTTTTATTATTTTTTAAAAAGGAAATGGAACAAGATTGATATTCGGAAATTCAACTTTATCACCTAATTCATCTCTAACAATTCTCGGTGGTTCACTTCAATCAAATCAAGTCTATCAATTTATGGTTTACATGGAAAATCGTAAGAATTCTTCTATTCAAGCAACAGGTTATGTACTTGTTACAATTGAAGTGACTTATCCACAACTGATTGCTGTTGGGTAAATTCTTTACGAGATTTTAATGAATTATCCTAATAAAAAATATTTGTTTTAGTTGTGTAATATCAACAATGTGTGTTCCAAACCTTGAATTTCAACTTCTTAATCCAACGACACAAGTTGCTTTATTTACTATTTGTATTGGAACTTGTACAAATCTTGAAAGTATTAAATGGAATATTTATCAAGGATCAGATAATTCAACATCTTCAAATTCTACCCAATGGACTTTATTGAATCAAACAAGTTCATATGAAAATATTTGGTTTTTTGGTAAAGATCTTGTTTTTTTTAATTATTAAATATATTTCTTAATTATTTTAGGTGCAAATACAAGTAATTTCACAGCAACAGATCAATTATTTCTTAATAATCTTCAAATAAGTCTTTGGCGTTTTGAAGTTGTTTATACATTTCTATCTGCAATAAGTACAAGTGCATTGAATTTTATTATTAATCAACCGCCTTCAAATGGTTCGTGTTCAATCAATCCTCTTAATGGTACTATAACTACTTTATTCACTATTGAGTGTCCAAATTGGTACGATGTCGATGGAATACAAGATTATTCGTTATATAGTATGTTTTATTTTCACTACCAGCTGACTTTTGTACTTTGTCATTTTAGCATGGACAGCAAATATATCACAGAGAACAATCATTGCATTTTCATCAGAATATACTTTTCAAGTTCGTTTACCAGTTGGTGATAATGAAACTTCATTACTCAATCTTGTTGTTTACATTCGAGACCTTGCGGGTTCTATTACACAAGTGAATATGTCTTCTGTTAATGTTATTGCAGATTTTGCAACGATCAATGATTTAATTGATAAAATAACAAATTCATCGAGCACAATAACAAATAATCCAATTGTTCAATTACTTTCAAGTGCAAATCAAAATGTTGTTGGACAGACGATCATTTCATTATCACAAGGATTCAATCAAATGAGTAGTGGAAATTTAGATAAAATCATATCAAGTAAGTATTAGTATTCATTTTATCAGTGATAATAAAATAAATTTTGTTTTAGGTGGAATATCAGCTGCAGATATTTCGGTATCATCATTAGGAAGTCAAAGTTTACAACAAGTAATTGAGTTTAATAGATTTTATTTTATTTTATTTCTATTTAAAATAGATTTCAGTACCAATGAATGAATCAGCTTTGATTAACTATAATATCGAATTAAATTCTCTAGCAAATGTTCGAGATTATCTCGTAACATTTCTAACTAATCTTCTTATAACAACATCAAATAGTATTATATTACAATCATCATCATTAGCTCAATTAACTCAAGCAACAAATCAATTAACACGAAATACTTTAGTAAAATTATAAGAAATATTTATATTGAAAATTTTTATATTTTTGAATAATTCTAGATGCTTGTATCAAATAGATGTTATGAATTATCTGCTGCTCTATATTCAATGTTTGAAAAAATCTCATATGAAGATGCTCAATCAGCATCATATCAACTTTTTCAATGTGCTTCAAATATTTTGAACGTAAAATATATGAAATCAGTATTCCCACTTCTCTATCAAACTCTTGATGGTGTGGGTGTGGATGATGATACGAGATGATATCAGCACCCACACCCACGCCCTTCAATGATTTTGACATAAAAAATGTTTTTTTTCTCTTCAACTATTGATCCTGTAAATTTTAGGGTGTGAATGGGCCATTACAAGGACGAACAGATGTACTTGATTTGGATTATTCTCGTGCAAATGCCGAATCTACTGATTATGATACTGATCTTGAATCTGCATGGTCAAATACAAGTAACAATTCTTGATGAATGATTTATCTATAGTTTTTTTTATTTCTAAAAGATTTATTTGGTGGTGGTGATGAGGTATCAATTGCAAAAAATCGAAATATTTATTATCAAAAACAATTAGCAAATCAAATCAATAGTCAAGTAACAGAAATCATATCATTATTAACTTCTTCATTAAATATTCATTTGAATATCGGTCAAAATTATCTAATAAATACATCTCAATCATTTATGTCATTAGAAACTATATCAATTCAATCACTCAAAGATAGACTTGTGAAACAAGCTGAAAATGCTCAATTTAATATTCCATCAGATTTTATTTTAAATACAACGTCGAATTCTTCAATTTCACTTCGAGTAAATTTTTACAATTTGAATCTTTTTTTGTTAAATTATTTTTTGTTTTATTCAGTCAAGAGTAGATTCACTTGCTTCATATGGAAATTTTCAAAATACAAATCTTTCAAGATCAATTTCACTTTCAATTATTGATCAAATTGGAAATGAAGTTTCCTTTCAAGCCAATGGAAATAATCCAATACAAATGATTATTCCTCGTGATCCAAATGTATTAATTCCATCAATGTATTTACAAAATGTTACATCAATTAATTCAACTCTTAATAATTTATTATTCAATTATTATTATATTAATATAACAAGTTTACTTCCGATTTCAGTCCATTTTGAAATTCATTCTTTAAATACAAATTTAGCTTATTTATTTATTTATAAATTTGATCAAACACCACAATTAAATAGTTCAATTAATCTTATTGATGGATGGACAATTTTTTGTCCTTTCAGTATGTTTTCTTTTCTTTCACATTCATCTAGATTTCTTTTTTTTGTAATTATAGATTTAACCAATGATGATATCTATCGATATTTCATTGATAATCAACAAACACCTACTCATCAATCATTTATATTTGGAATAAGAGAATTAAATTCAACAGAAATAAATAATTATTGTTTAAATAATTCTTCAATAAATACGTTACCAATTACCGATCAACCATTTAATTTTACATCAAACTATGAACTTCGTCTATATACATCAGGTTGTTACTATCTTGATGAAAATAATCAATGGAAATCAGATGGATTAATTGTAAGTATAAGATGGATTAGGAAAATAAAGAATATTTGATATTTATTTAATCATAGGTTGGATTATTGACAAATCTCTATGAAACTGAATGTCTATCGACTCATTTGACAACATTTGCTGGTGGTTTTATTGTTTTACCTGCACCAATTAATTGGAGTTATGTTTTTGCAAATGCTAATTTTACGAAAAATAAAACAGTTTATTTAACAGTGATAATTACTTCAATAATGTATATTATTTTAATGATTTATGCACGTTTTAAAGATAAGAAAGATTTTGAAAAAGTAAAATAAAACAGTGTTTTATATATTTCATAAAATCAAAATTTGTGTTTCTTTTTTAGTTGGGAGTAATACCATTGACTGATAATAAGAAATCTGATCGATATTATTATCAAATTCTTGTTTTTACTGGTCAAAGAAAACATGCTGGAACAGATTCAAAAGTAATATAGTACAAAGAAAATACCTTAAAGAAACTTTTCTTTTTCTTTCTACAAGGTTCATTTTGTCTTATCGGGTGAGAATGATCAAACACCAATTCGATTATTTTCTGATCCTCACCGAAAAATTTTTCAACGTGGTGGAATTGATTCTTTTATTGTTGCTGTTCCAAAGTAAAATTATTATTGTTTTTTAAGATTTTATAAGAGATTAAAATTTAGATCATTGGGCTTATTAAATTATATTCGTATTTGGCATGATAATACAGGCGAAGGTTCTTCAGCTTCTTGGTATTTAAAATATATTATCGTTCGAGATTTACAAAGTATGGATAAATTTTATTTTATTTGTCAACAATGGTTTGCAGTTGAAAAAGATGATGGACGAGTAAGTTGTGTAATAGAGAACATAGTATTTCTTATTTTTGTCTTGAATTTAGATTGAACGAATTTTACCAATTGCTAGTGATGCAGAGAAACAGAAATTTTCATATGTATTATCGAAAAAAGCTTATCATAGTGTGTCTGATGGTCATTTATGGTTTTCAATATTTTCTCGTCCACCATCGAATAAATTTACACGTGTTCAACGATGTACTTGTTGTTTTGTTTTACTTTTTACTTCAATGTTAATCAATATAATGTATTATGATTTATCAAATGAAGCGAAAGAATCAAGTAAAACACATAGTAGTGCTTCATCAATTGGTCCTTTTTATATAGCACCACAACAGGTATATATTCATTTTTATACCACAAAATTGAAAATTCTAGAGTCGTCAGGATGAGAGGAGGTATCCTCAGACTACACCAGTGGCGGATTTAGGGGAGCGATCACCCCCATGGCCCCCTCTTTCCGAATTCTTTTTGATTTTTTACAACAAAAATGAACGACAAAGTAGGTTCATACTACTTCGATTGGACTCAACAAATAGATTTTAGCCAAAAGCGCTCCCATCCCCAGGTATTGCCCCTCTATACTAAAAAAATCGCCCCCCCCCCCTTCCAAAATCCTAGATCCACCACTGGACTACACTCACACCCCTGTGTCTCTAAAATTTCCAATATCTGATCAGTGAAAGTATCTTTTTATATTTAAGATTGGAATTGGTATAATGGTTGAATTGTTTACATTAATTTCAACTTTTTTAATTGTTCAATTCTTTCGACGTATTCAACCTCGTCAACAAATTTCACGATTACGTGAAGCATTATATAAGATAAAACCAACTCAACAAATGTTCGTATATTTTTCTTAGGAGGATAATTAATAATCGTTTTTGCATTTTCAATTATAGTAGTTCGACAAATGTCCATGCAATTAAGAAAAAAAAATATTCAATAAGATTTCCTTGGTGGTGTTTATTTATTGCTTATGGTCTTTCGATGATAATTATTATTATTTCAATATTTTTTATCATTGTTCGAGGAATTGAATTTGGTGATGTAAAAACTCAACAATGGTTAACATCTGTTCTTACTGGATTTTTCTCATCGGTTATTTTCACTCAACCTATAAAAGTATATCTTCTATTTTGTTTTAATTTATATTTTTAAAATATATTTCATTGAAGATTTTATGTTTGGCTATATTCTTTATATGTTTTTGTCGAAATTCAAGTAATGATAAAGAAACAATTGAATATATAAATGATGATGATGAATTTAATTTATCTAATGATGAAGATTCTCTTCATTTACCAGAGGTTTGTTTTCTTTTAGAATTTCATAGAAAAATAAGTTTTCCGTTTTATAGTATCAGTCATTATTCTCTTCTTCGGCTTCAAAAAGTATAAATCGTCTTAATAAAAATGAAATTGCTCATGCTCGTGATCAACGTTTAAAAGAAATTCAAATGTGGGCAATTATTCGAGAGTTTCTTACTTGCTTGACATTTGCAATATTAATTTTTGTCATAACTTATTCAAATCGTGAACAAAATAGTTTTTTACAAGTCAATCATTTACGGGCTTATTTTCTCAATCAAAAACAAACTACAGTTGATTATACTAAAGTTTGTTGTTCTTTTCTTGTATTGAAATAAATTTTGTTTTTTCTAGATCAATACAATCGATGAATATTGGTATTGGTTGGAAAATAGTTTTGTTTCAAATATTCGTGCACAACAATGGTATAATGGAGATAATCCACAATATTTAAATGGATTTTTAAATGATAAATCTAATCGATTCATTGGTTGGGCAACAATGAGACAACTACGTATTAAATCAGAATTATGTTCCGATCAACGTGTTATTTCAATATGTGAAGATAGTTATAGTTTTTCTAATGAAGAAACACAATTATTTCAACCAGGATGGACAAATCAAACAATAGAAGATGAAGTGTATAGTTCATCAATTCTAAACGCATTTAACTATTCTACGAGTGATGAATTAGATACATATACATATGTAGGTGACTTTGGAACATATAGAGGAGGTGGTTATGTCTATGAATTTCGTGGTAGTTTATCTGATATGAAAGAAAATTTATCTACACTTCATCAATTAGATTGGATTGATGAGAAAACAAGAGCTGTTTTTATTCAACTAACATTATATAATCCAAGTGTTGAATTATTAACTGCAGTTACTTTACTTGCTGAATTTTTGCCAACAGGTGGTATTTATACAACAGCTCATTTCGAACCAATTAATTTCTACAGTAATTCATTCTTTAGTTTTTATTTTTAAAGATAAATAAATTTTTGTTTTTTAAATTTAGCATTTACATCAATATTGCAATTAGTTTGCATAATTCTTTATATATTTTTTATTATTTATTTTATGATCATTGAAATTCGATTATTATTCAAATTAAGATTAAAATATTTTTATCAGGTTTGGTCATTAATTCAATTAGGTATTATAGGTTGTTCATTAGGAAGTATTGGAGTTTATTTTTGGCGTTTTCAAGAAGCTAATCGTATTAGTGAATTATTTGAAGAAACAAATGGATATGTTTATATCAATTTACAACTTGCAGTTTATGTTAATGATATCTTAACATTTCTTCTTGGTTATTGTTGTTTTTTTAGTATGATTAAATTTGTTCGATTATTGCGATTTAATCAACGAGTATCTTTATTTACTCAAACAATAAAATCTTGTGCAAAGGCACTGATTTTATTTTCATTAATGTTTACAATTATATTTATATCGTATCTTAGTTTATTTTATTTATTATTTGTATCAAAACTTTCGTCATGTTCAAGTTTATTACGAACTGCTCAAATGCTTTTTGAAATGACATTAATGAAATTTAATGCATCAAAAATAATTGAAGCTGATGTTTTTCTTGGCCCGTTTTGTTTTACATTATTTATGTTCGTGGTTGTTTTTGTTTGCTTAAGTATGTTTGTTTCAATAATCAGTGATAGTTTTCGTCATACAAAAGGATATCAAAACGAAGATCAAATTATATTATCATTTATGCTAAAGAAATTTTTACGATGGACAGGTACGTAGAGATTTGTGTCGTTTATTCAAGTCAAGTAGAATCTCAAGATTATAATCTAAACCTCTCCATATTAGATTAATTCGGAGCTAAACTTGAGAAATATTTTACAACGGATGGAGGAGACTATGACCGAAGAGAAAATTTCCACACTCAGTCTCAAAATTGCCTTATCTTAGTAAAACACAGTTGTCTATTAATATTATAGGTTTGAAAAAAGAAACTCAACCAGAAACTCAAGACGAACGAGATTGTCGAATGCGATCACAATATGTTAATCCAGTTGAAGTTTTTCCTCATAAAATTGATCAATTACTAGAAGCAATTGATAAAGTATGTGGATATCTATTGTATCTTTTACATAAAATTATATTCTGACTTTTTAGATTTATACTAATCAAAAAATCGAATTATCAAGACTGGAAAAAGCTGGACTCTAAATATTATCCTTCAAAACTGACTAATATTCATGTAATCAATTCAAAATAAACTTTCAATCTTTTTTTCGAAATAAATGTTTAAAAGGGTGTGGATATGGTTGTGTGTTTTTTGTCTATTCATATCCATACTCATACTGACGCCCTTTTTCTTAATTTCTTTTTCTCTCTGAGACAGGTCAAAAATATTAACTTATATAGTGACTGCTAATCGTGTGTATTACAGATATTTGAAGTGAAAGTAAAAAGAAAATGATGGCAAATTTTTTCTCACTGAGTCTTTTAGGCAAAGGAAAGAAAAATGTTTATCTTGTGTCAATAACGAAAGATTACTCATTTTGTTGGTAATTTTTGTTATATAAAATGTTTGTAGTATAAAAAGCGTTGATACTGACATTTTTTTAAAAGAAAATAGTTATTCAATGATGAAAGCAAAAAAAAAATTAAATCAAGAATGGGAAGATTTCAAACAAAATGCTCCTGATTATATATTTGCTGAACCAATGAAGAATGATATACTTAATTGGCGTGCAAAATTGCTAGGTCCACCTGATACGCCGTTTGAAGGTGGTATATTCATTCTCGATATTATTTATTCCGATGAATATCCATTTAAACCTCCAATATGTATAATGAAAACAAATATGTTTCATCCAAATATTTCTTCAACTGGTGAGATATATATCAGCATTTTGCAAAATGACTGGACTCCGGCGTTAACGATTAGAAGCATTTTACTAACTATATGTTCTATTCTTGATAATCCTCTCATGGATAATCCTAACAATGATAAAGCTGCTCAATGCTTTAAAAAAAATCGTACGGAATATGATTTAATTGTTCGAGAATATACGTTGAAGTATGCTAATGAATCTCCTATTCATGATGAAAATGAGCAGGATCTTCTTTCAACGATGCTACATACAGAAATAAATAATTAGCCGTTTTTTTATTTACTTATTATATATATTTTGACAATCTTAGTTCTTGTTTTCTTTGGTTTCTAATAATTTTTTAAATAAAAATAAACAATTTTTTAACGTCAGTTAAGCGAGAGAAAGAAAAAACGCTTGATTTCTGTTGACATAGAGATATATTTTATTTACGAAAAGTACCATAGACACACAACATATTCTCATATATACTAGGTATTTTCATCAATCGAGTCAGACATTACGAAGATTTACAAGAAAACATGGAGTTTATCTTCATTTGTTCAGTTAGTTCCTAGAGCTTAAGTAGCTAAACGAAATAGTTTTACTAATTCTTTTCGAAAAATGACACCACATAATGTATAGAGATAAAAGGTAATTGAATTGTTGAGAACTAAACTAATCAGTGATAGATTGTATATTGTATTTTCAATTGATTGACGTACTATAGATTTTGTTTGATAGATTGTTGCCACTGCATACAGTTTGTAGATACTGATTGGAAATGCGGAAATAACAAAGACAGATACCTATAAAAATAAACGAATAGTGGCTAGCATTTTTTAGATTTCTCTTTTTTGTCGCTTACTTGTACAAGTAACATTTTTACCAACTGTATATCACGTTTTTGTGCTCTTCGCTTGATTTCTGTGAGAACTAAATGGCGGTTTTGTTGAGTTGGTATGTTCGTTGGATGATGCAATGGAATGGATTGATTTAGGTTTGCTGTCATAATACCTGGAATTGATATATTACCTGGTTGTGTTATATTTATACGACGCCGTTGGTTACGAACATTTCTCAATGTTAAACAACTAAAAATCGTCATCATACAAATAGGTGTTAGAATTTCGAATAAAAATTGAAATAGACTATCCACAATTTGACAAGAAATATTCTTTTTTAGTTGATAACATGGTTGTGGTGCACCTAAGATTTGTTGATTGATATCGATACAATAGAATTGTTGAGCATATACTATAAAACATATTAGAATAACAAAGATCATCGACATATAGGCACGTTTCATTGTGAGTAATTGTCTTCTGTCAGTGCTTGTTGATGAAGCGAGATATCGTTCAACGCAAGCTAAACTAATAAACCAACTAGCTGCTGTTCCTGAACTATATGTGGTGAAAAATCTCAGTTTACAAAGTGCAGGTATTGTTTGCGACGGATCAATACCAAATCCATTGAGAGTACGAGATAAAAGACCGGCAAACATTATTATACCATCGAAAACAGTCGATACCAAAAAATAATTGGCACAAACATTATCACGAAATACTGGTCGCGTAAATATCAATATATTGAGAATATTTCCGATGATACCAAAGAACATGAGAGGTATAGGAAAATATCGATTAATTATTTGATTCAGTAAGACAAAGTTGATTGACGAAGTATTACCCATGTTTTACCTCTGAAACACAAAAAATATGCATATAAGAAAGCATAAAGGTTTTATGTTTATTTAATAGAACATATAGAAATGACATAAAACTCGATATATTCTATATAACTAGGGAAGGCTTGTAATATTTTATATATATAGCAGATTAAATGTCCTCCAAGTCTGGCATAATCAGAGAAAATCCAACTATAGAATCAAAGTATCGCGTCAACAAAAAATAATGAGCATAAATTACTATAAATAAAAATGCACGGAATAGATAGTACTTGAGAACTTTATGCGTTGGCGACATAATTATGATCCGAGAAAAATTAACGTTTTTCATATATTTAACATTGTTTGACAGTCGAATAAAGGAAGAAAAATTTTAATTCCTCGTTTGAAATCCATCGTACTATGCAAAAACGGACTTACCTAATGAGATAAATGTTAAAATAGTTTTTCCTTTTGAAGGAAAAGCAAGTTTATAAATATTAATGATGTGAAATTTATTGTTCTCACAAAAATAGTTTTTTGTAACACTTGTCTGGCTAAATACTTGACTCTGTCAAGAACATTGTCAGCCGTGTGTTTGAATGGGAAATGACGAAACGCTTGTTTCAAACGTTCGCCTCATTAATACTGCTAAAAATATATCAATTTGATCTTCTTTGTAGTTGCTCTTTTTTACATAGTATATCAAATAAAGTGCATAATTGATAACTTTCATTTCATTTGTAAATATCGAAACAGTTTATGTCTCTTTGTTTTCATTACTTTTAAGTTCCATTAAAAATGCATTTACTTAATCTCTCCTCATTTGTTATTCATTACTCCGTGTCTAAGTTGTGAAATAGATATACAATCATACGCTTTTACATAGGTATGTATGTAGTGACTATAATAAATATCTATCAATTTAAAGCCAAAGTCAGGCAATATAAATGTTTTTATTCGTTAAAAATTTTTAGAAACTATTTTTATGTTACCTCTCTCCTTTGTCACTTTCGTTCAAAAAAAAGAACAATGGTTAAATATCGAGCATATTTATAGTTTTATTAATAATATTATGAAATAAATAACAGAATCAAAAATGATAGTTTTTATTATTTTAGTTACTGTCCACTTAAATATCATAATACTCACACCACTCATATTTTTCAGTTATTTCATTAAACAAAAATTTAAGGCATAATGAAGAGGAAGAGAAAAAACATATGTCGAAAGACTTCTGTTTCTTCTTCAACACTTATGTTCACAATCAAGTGTACCTCAGCATCGACGTACTGCAGTCATTCGACACATGAAGATCAAAAAAAAAATGGAAAGAAAAACAATAACATAAAATAAAATACGTTGGTTACTTTCTCTCGATCTACTCCACATCCTCATTTTGACAACAATATAAGAAAAGTAAGTATTATATTTTATGGAAGCAAATTTCTTTATTTTGTTTAGATTAATCTTATTATTAAAATATTTGTCTCAAATTTTATTTCAATCTAAAATTAGAAACAGTAAATTATTCACATTAAACTGCCACACATGAAAAAAGACTTCTCAAGAAACTATTACAACTTTTATTTGTGATCAATAATTGATAAACTAAATGAAATCTTGTTTTTCAAAAACAAATGATTTTATTATTTCAGCTGAGTTATTTTCAAAATAAAAATAATTATCATTTTATTCAATACATAGTTCAAATTTTTGAATTCGATGATTATATAAAGATTTCCTTCAGCATCAAATGACACATCAATGGGACTATATAGTTGATTTGGATCTGTTCCTCGACCATTTTCATCAACAATAGTTGAACCTTTTGTATCTCCCTCGAGCATCTTGAGGGTGGGTGTGGGTGTAAGCGTATCCTACTACTATTCACATCAACATTCAGATTCTCAGTCACCCAACCACAACCTCAATTATTTGACACTCCAGTCAACTTTAAAATTGCAAAAAAAACTCATATTGTATACTTTCTTTTATAACGAAAAACATATAGTTGGAAATTTTCACTGATAACTTGATATTTCACCGTCGAAAAGTCTCTTATCAGTCGTCAACAAAAACATGCGCATTCATTTACATTCTTCAAGTGGTAAAAAAGCAAAAAAGAAAAGAAACTTGATAATACGAACAATAAAAAGATAAATAATCAAACGAAACAGAAAGTAAAACCTTTTTCTTATTGAAGTGCGGGTGTTAGATTACTCTTTCGTCATACCATCACTAACACCCTAACTGTTTCAAAAAGAATCTTCATAAAATGGGTATAAAAAAAAACGATAGTTTCTTTTTCTTCGACATTGTCGGTCTTCCATACGAGTTCTACGACAATAAACCACTAATCTTCCTCGATTTTGTAATCCGATTTCTTCAATTTCCTTTTCATCAGTAAACCGCCGTAGTGATTTTAATGCGTCATCCACGGATGGTAACGAATGGCACTGATCCATATCCTCGTAGATTACTTTAGTTGCCGTCGTTGTTGAAATTTGATTTTTCAGTAAAGCCATGAGTTTCTCTTTCTTGGTTGCTGTACCAACAGTGTCACCATCACCCTGATCATATGCCTCAACTAATCGTATAAAAACTTCACTAAATATTGGACCACGACGGTTCGGACAATATTTGCGCATGACACCAGCAAAACCTTCCAATGTCTTACAATTTAGGGCAGCATGACTGACAAGACGGACAAGATGAACGCTTTCCATGTCTTCATGAGCTACGACACGTACTTTCTCACCTAAAATATACAAAAGACCCCTTTTTTTCGATCCATTTTCTTCAATTTACTACTCACTCTGCAATCTTCCGTCAATGATATATAAAATTTCTTCTTTCTTCGATAAATTTAAAAGTCCTCCACTATTTGTATCTGAATAAATCAGATAATAAAACGTAATTAATAATTCATATCGTAAAGTGTCGTAATCTAAATGTTTTTCAATGTAATCTTCATCGATTTTACAATAATTTAACATCGTTCGAATAAAATCGGGTAATGGTAAGAGCAAACTTTTGATATAATTCAATTCGATTTCTTTATGTACCATCAATTTGGGAGTTTCCTTGGTTATCTTTTCTGGTGTTAATTGAATCGGTTGAGATAATTCATCATGAAAATAATTGATAAAACTTCGTTCAATGTAATCCGGTAAGTTGTTATTGGTTAACGTGTTCGAATTATCTGTACTGGATGTAGTTGGCAACTGTTTCGCATTAGAACCATAGACAAGAATTTCTACAATTGTTTTCACTGTCGCTGAATTTTTTGGATATTTCTTTAGATATTCTTGTCGAAGATATTCATAGTAAATTGGTACAAGAACAGATTTAAGATCATTTCTTAAATAACCAATCATCAGTGGTATAGATAAATCATACTCTTGAGTATTGACAATGGGTAGTCGCTTCAGCAATTTGTCATAGGTCTTCTCACCAAATTGTTCCGCGTTTTTAAAACCTTGGGATTCATCGATTATAAATCGACATACTTTTTCCAGTTCGGTTAAGACTTGTTTTTGCCGGTCTGTTTTAGTACGTTGTTGAATAATTTCAAAGAGTAATTTTAAAAGTGCAACTTCCTGTTGTCTATCATATCCATAACTGTCTAAGGTATATAGATAACCCAGCCAGATACCTTCAAGAATACGTATTCGTTTCATATGTTCATCGTTGATATACAAGGGAATGACTGCATTGATTTGTTCATCAGCGAGAGCACCAGCGATGGAATAGTGATCATTTAGAGTAGTGAATTGTCCTTGGACTCGTTGATTATTTTTTGCTAAATTCATTCCATTGATAAACGAATCATATGAAATAATAGTATTGGTCGCTTTTAAAAGTTTTAAACCTTTCGCCGGATTCGTAATAACTTCTTCATCACGTTGAACAAAAATACCCAGACATAAAATATTATCCGATGATTTTCTCATAATTTCATAGATATCTTCATTGGAATAGATATCCACCCAATCCTGTTTCTGTTTTTTGATCTCTTCCCATGTATCCGGTGTAATAGAAACTTTGTATCCTTGTAATATCCCACTGATATCTGTTTTTTTGAAATAATCGACATTTCTATTGACTCTTAAATCTAATTTCTTCTTTCGTTGTGTATTAGCAAAGATTGGATCATGTCTCAGTGCGCTCAATTGCAATTTTACACGTTCGGGCACTTGAGTCATTTTCAATTGTGTAAATAATTCGCGATATTCCATCATACGTTGATCGATTTCCTTGTAAATTTGTTCCGTTTCTAGACGTTCTGCAAAATTTTTGCTGTTTGTTATTTGAATATCATTCAAATAGGTTTGAATTGATTTGACCTGTTCTTCGTTTTCTGGTTGAATAAGATTCAGTGCATGAAGACGATGTATCGCACGAATGTCTTTCATCGGTTGTAGAGGAAATTGTGTCGTTGTTGTTTTATCATCAATGAGTGTCAATTCGGCATTTGCACTGAGATCATCACCCTCGTTCGTAAGAAAACCAACGGTTTCGTTATCGATATTATTTGCAGTATAAGTCTTTCCATTTGGGAATTTAATGGTGAATTGACGAACAGTCAATGCATATTCAAACATATCATTAAAATTATTTTGTAATTCTTTGGATTCTGTTGAATAACGGAAGAGACCTTGTCGAGTACCAAATGTTCGGATTTGATTGAGAAATGCATCGTTTACTTCACCAAAACCGATTACATGAAATGTAATGGGAGGTAACTGAAAGAGAACAAAGTATAAAATTATTTAAAAAGTAGTTGCACAGTGACTTACATTCGTCATTCCACTTAAAATCAACTTTAACATCTGAATACTCTTCTGCAATGCTGGTCCATTTGGCTCATTATCTTGTCCATCGGTCATAAATATGAAGGTTACTGGCTTTTTGGCTGATGCATTTTGTAAAAGATAATCTTTGATAGCAGTAAATATGCAGGCAAATGAGGTTCCACCACTACCTTGAAGATTCTCATTTCGTTCAGCTAATGTCTTTAATGTACGGTTGACATCTGTTTGAGTATTGTATGTGAATAGATGGTAGTCTTTTTGTGTACGTTCATAGATATCACGTAAGACTTCACAGACATTGTTTATAGGACTACCAGCCATCGAGCCACTGACGTCAACACAACAGACGATGTCAAGATCACCGCCAGCAGCAGCAGCAACAGCAGCATTAGTAGCATCATAGGTTCCTTCTGGATGTGAAAGTTTGATTTCCACATAGTTTTGTTGGTTAGAAAACGGTAATTTCAAATACGACGCCATAGGTAACTCTTGTTTTCAAAGGAGACAAAGTGAATAAATGAAAATAAAATCGTGTTATTTATATACTGTAATTTTGCAACCATATTGTGCAATGACTCAAAGGAAAAAAACCAAAAGAATGACTCGTGTAGAAATGTCGAGCTTTATCTCTGGTATCTTTTCATATGTGAAACCGTATAGTAATCAATTTCTGGACGTTTCATCCATTATTATAGGGAAAATTATCACATTTCATGAAAATGAGTCAGTTTCTATCAATTATCAACGGTAAAAATACTGTACGTAGGCCGTATTCCTTCTCGAGCTGATAAACAAAAATAATGCTTTATTCATCATACATTTTTTTTCTTTCCTACTAGCATATCTAAGCATCACTTGCGCACGACTAAAGTGGGTTTTTTACCACAAAACAATGTCGTCTGATATGATGTTGTTGCGCATTAGACACCAATGCATAATCGGATCTTGAAAACAACTACATGAATATTCTATTTAATTTCGATTTGGTTATCACCTAGGGTGGGTGTGGGTGTGAGTAAAGCATTGTGGTATAGCGACACCCACACTCACACCCTGATCCTGAGGGTAGGTGTGGAAGAGATTCACACTCACCTAGATCCGACACCCATCATTCTCTTTGTTTCTGTGCTCTCATACTTTGCATTGAATTTATTTTCAGATAAAGATATGATATAGGAGTTTTATTTCGGTTTAATCTGTACAACATAGTAAAATAAAACTCTTAAGACATATCTTTATTTGGTAATAAATTTGATGCAAAGCATGAGAGCATAGAAAAAACGAGGAGAAAAGATTTTTGTCCAACGATGAGTGTGGATGAGAGTCAGTGTGCGTATAAATCTTCTCATAACTGATACGCTTATCTACAGCCACATTCACACCCAACATTGATTCAAAACGTAAAGTCCCCATATTCAATCAGAAAAACATTCGACCGCTCATAGCGCGAGTTTTATTTGTTGATTTCTATTTTATTTGACGAAATTCAACAGAATATATGAAGTAAATCGCACAAGTAACTGATAAAATAAAAGATTTTTCGTATGTTTCTATATACTATATATCACTCGTCGTTATAGTCATAAATTTGATCGTGGCGAGAAATATCAATCACGCGGTACACTACTTGCAATGTTCAACATTATGAAATAGGATGCATTCTCGATTCTTATCTAAAAATAACAGATCTTGATTTTCTGCCAAGTATGAGTATGGATGTGGGTGTGAACTGAAAGAAGATACTGACAGATTCTAGCCCACACTCAACTTCTGATTCTCAACAATAGTATTATCGGTACTACTATCAATGACATTGCATTATTTTCTATATAATACTTTAAGAATTGTATATAATAAAATTATCTAGATTTTCATTATAATACTTTTTTCTATAAGTTTAAAAATCAACTACTGTAAAATAAAATCTCACAATTACTCCATGGCATGATACACATAAGTGATTTATAATATATAGCTGATGTTGATGATGAGAATAGAAAAGACAATAATCATAAATAAAATCATGTGCATTTGTTTTTGAAAAAAAATCTGAGGAAATATTCTCTACGTTTTAAAGATATTTAAATCTGAATGCAATTTAAGCACTGTCACACAGCTCTGCCAAACTTAGGTTTTATTAATTCATGAGTAGTGAATAAAATCAAAAAGAAAAATGTTCTCTTATTAACGATTATATACGATTTGTGATTGTTGAAAGATCATCCATGATGGCCAAAGACATAACAGGTTTGTGCCATCCATCTCGACTTTCAACACCATGAAATCCACCTGCTACATAACACATCTTCTTCTCATTTGTATATTCACTCTCGAATTCAACTGGAGTGACGACTGCATCTAATTGAACCTCGTCGATATTGCACGATTCTTTCGTATGAAGACCATAGCATAGTTTAAGAAACCAGCCTGAGAGTTTTGTCCAGCTCCTATCAGATAAAAGTATAATATATACAACAGATTAAATCGTTTGCAGTAACTCATGCTTATACTCACCCTGATCCACGACCAACATGTTCGACATCAAAGATTTTATCCCAAAATTCATTATCCACTTTGCCCTGATAAGTATCGATGAACTGATCAAGTACTGGTAGAAGACCTTGGATATAGGTTGAAAATTCATCGTTCGGCGTTGTAAAAGCTTGTAACTGTGCCGTCTTTTGTCGAAGAAGTAACCAATCATCGAGCGTACCCAGAAAGTGTACTTTTCGAATGCCACACATTATCATAAAAAGCCCATAGTCAAAATAATTTTTGAAAGTATTCATAATTGTGGCACAGGACAACAATGATTCGACCTTGCCCGTAGTTGAATAGTTGGCCGTTAAAAGAGAAACAATGTCATTTTTAACATTTTTTCCTATTTCTGTACGTAAACTTTCGAGAAAAGCGTTCCAACTATGAAAATATAAATTCAAAAATAAATGGTGAGAAATATGAGTCTCAACATCACACTTACTCAGGTTCTTCTTGGTATTGTTCAATAGTTAATTTGATCTTTCCTTCGTGATTAACAAAGACACTACGCAACTTTTCGGCATTCTTATTGACATATTTAGCAAAATAAATTGTAATCATTAACCAGATATCACTAAAAAACATAAAAGAAAAACTGTAAAACCGTGTTCTCACATAAATACGAGTTACTCAGGTGACAGAACAATGTCTTCATGTGAATTGTAAGCATTGAGATAGGCATGAAACAACGCATGACGACCAGGAGATGATGTGTCTGAAAATATAAATGAAAATTGTTCGAGCACTTTGAATTTATTGGATTAAACATCCACTTTTGAAACAATGAAATAAATATAATGCTGATGCAAATTATTTTATTCCTAGTAGAGAATGATATAGCATTACTTACATGGTCCATTAGAAATTATATGTTGCACTTTGAATCGATCATGTTGAATATTACTTCCCCATTTGCCTGCGGTAAGATAATTGATGACTCCACCGATCCAATAATCCTCTTGAGGCAGATCTTTAGGCTCTTCAATTTTATATCTCTGTTCAATCTTTGGTAGATCAGCACGAATAGCGATTGTATGAAATCGTTCATTTAAAGTACAAGCAGTCACAGTCACGAATGCCTATATAGGTTAGTTATGAAGAAAAGGAAAATGAAAATGAAAGAATAAATGTATACTTTCACATTGTAATGAGCGCAACGTTAAAACACATGGCTCAATAATGTAATTGCACAATATAATTTTTCTGTCGTCAGTCTTTCTTTCCTTTTTCTAACCCATAGTAATATAGAGTGATTCAATCGTCTATATGTTTTTACATGATCATTGAAACATTTTTTTAAGAAGGATGTGCGCATGGATAAACAAAAAAGATCTTCATTCTTACTATATCGAAACTTGATATGACGATCAAATGAAACTCTGATGCACACTATGTATTATAAAACAAATACTTTTTTCAGTTGATAAACTTTTTGTATTGAAACGAATAGAATAAAAAAAACGTTTCATTTTTCCTTTATTTCTTCAGAGAATAAAAAATACTGGTAGAAGTAATTGCTCAATATTCCATTTCTTTTCAAAAGATATATCTTTATCGTATAAGATATATACCTGTTTTGCTGTAGATACAGGATATATGAATGCAATTTGAAGATCTTGAGGGTGTGGGTGTAAATGACTGATTAAGAGTGAACCTATACCCATCCACGCCTTCTAGACATGATTAAATTCTCTTTTATTTTATTTTAATTTTATTTGATATTAATAATCAATAAAAAGTCCGTGACGTTTCGTATTTCGATGAGTTACTTCTTCACACATCAAATTTATGACAAACTCTTTAACATATACAAGTAAAATAGCTTTTTTTCTCTCTATTTCCTTTCGTTATTGCTTGTTGATAGTGATGCAGAAAACAAGACGGTGATAGTAATAGCTGGATAAGGATATAATCCTTTTCCGTATCACTATCAATGACTAACAACGAAAGGAAATAGAAGAAAAAGCTATTTTACTTGTATATCTGAAAGAGTTTATGATATATTTTAATGTCTGAAGAAGTATCTCATCGAAATACAAAACGTCACGAATTTTTAATTAATTATTAATATCAAATAAAATTAAAATTAAATAAATGAAGAGACAATAATAAAGAAAAATCAATTCTATCTACATACATCAAAAATTAAAAATATATATGCGCTTGATTGAATTTTGCAGAGAGATAAATGCTCCTAGTATGACTCAAATCATATACCTTCTGCTATCCAAACAGATATCCTATACCAGTTAGAATAGAACCGACATCTTAGTTGTCATATATTGTTCGAATGAATCAATACGAACGCTAATAGTAAAAAGCCTAGCTGTATTACATGTAGAAGAGAAGAAACATTCTACTCAATTGGAATTCAAACCAAAAAATATTTAAAAAAAATTTACCATAATAAATAAACATAAAAATAGCTGCATTGTATATTTCTTGGTTGTTTTTTGAATATGTCGTCACTTGTTTTATGTAATGAAGTAATGGAAAGAAAGACGTTGAGTATTTCTGAGCCTATAAAAGAAAGAAAAAAAGTATTTTTTATCATCTTGTATCTTTAGTCTATGCCGCTCGTTATAATAAATCTGCGTAGAAACGATGAGAATCACATATTTTTGTTCAGCTCTTTTCCTGTCATTCGCTGTTAGCCCTGTAACAGTCTTCTTCACTAAGGTTCAGTGTCCAACTCTCTATCTTTATCTATGAAAAATTATCAGCTATATATAGAATAGGCGTTATTCATCTTTAGGAAATATCCGACGCATGATCGTGGTTGAACGAACGGGAAAATCCCAAACACGTATGATAGACAGGAATGGAAAAATCCAAGTATATGTGACATAAAAAGGAAGAGGATAGAAAAAGAAGGAAAATATCAAGTGACACATATGTGATAGATGTGCCGAACAGATATCTTACTTGTTCGCTTACAAGCCCGCCGCGTTCTAGTTTTTTATTTTCTCTTTTCTTTTACTGAATTATTTAGTTGGAAAAATCCCAGTGAGTTGCTTCTTGATGAGTATTTATAGATTCATTTTTTCGCAATATATTACCTGTTGCATTGTTTTCGTTTTGCACACGTAAGTTAGCTCACAAGGGAACCGTCAAATGTGTTCAGCTTCGATTACCTTCATTCGTCTATCGTTGGATATAAAACATTGAGATCTTAAAAAGTCTAAAAGTATTTGATCAGATAATTCTTTCTCGAAAAGTTAAGATCATTTTCGTGCCTTTCTCAGTGAAATCAATCACTAGCTAAAAACCTTATGACGAACTTAAACTGATTGTACATATTTGAAATTTTTATTAGTATAAGCTCACATATACTGCTGATTAGCCTAAGAATTCTAGATTATTTGGTATTTTGTTTTTGAGTTACAGATTACTAATTCAACTGGAAAAATTACAACGCTATAATTGATTACGGTGCTGTTTTTTCTTTTAGGTTTATGTAACTCTATGCTCTATTTTCATTTTCATTCTTAAATTTATTAACAGTATAATGCAAATAATCAGTGCATAACTAGTGATTTTAGTGTGATTATTATTTGTAAATGATTTCTAATTCATACATTCAACTGTTCAATTATTCAAATATTCAGAAAACTCTTAAGAGAGCTCCCTAAAAACTGATCTCACTTCAAGGATGTGGGTGTGAGTGTAGGTATTCATCTTCTCTTAACCCACACCCTTATTAAACGATCTATTATTGGACAATTAAATTTTTCCCAAAATGTTGAAAATAAGAAAAACAATTACAAAGAATACGAAAAGGTTCTAATGTCAGTCGAAATCCAAATCGTATAAACATCGTCCACTCTGAACCACTTATCATAGCTAGTATTTCTAAGAATCGAAAAGAAAACTTCGGGATGGACGTCAGTTATAATTGCTAGACACATAAGAATATATTCTATCATGCAAAGGTTTTAATTGATTTATTATAAAAAAAAGAACTAGTATTGTCAGGTGATGCTGCAAGATGTTTAATACCAACTAATTGATACTTGATATAATCTGGATGAAAATGATGACATTTTCTATCATATCACAGAAAAAAATCGTTCAATTTTTAACGTAATTTATATAAAATTGTCTAATGAATAATATTAGCTCTGAAATACTATTGATTCAACGATATATGACAACATATCTTATTCTCGTTAATACTGATTTAGTTTTCAACATAATTATTTTTAATCAACCCTGTATATTGTCGAAAATCATATTCAGTTTATATTTTATTTGCATCTATATCTGTAGTACCAGTTATTTATTCATTATTTTTTTGTCAATTTCAATTTTATCTTCGTCATTTATTTAATCAAATGATGAGAACATTTTTTATTTTAGTATGTATTGATCGTTATGCAATATCATTTAGTCAATATCGGGTTGCTATTTATATAACAGTATCTGTTCCTATATTTTGGTTATTATTATGAATATTTCCATCCAAATTACGTATACTTGAAAATGGAGAATGTGTAGGAAGAAAGGGTTTATCTTTTCTTATACTATCTATCTACAGTGCTTTTCTTGTTGGAATAATTCCATTATCAATAATGATTATATTTGATTTGTTGATGTTAAAAAATCTAAAATATATTCGTACTTGTGTTAAACTAACAAAATTTTCTCATTCAATAACATATCGTTCCCATAAACATGATAGAGAAATTAATTGTTATATTATAACGACATTATCATCGTTAATTAATTTATTGTATCAATCAATAAAACAAAATATGATCAGAACTGAGCAGCAACAAACAATTGTATCATTGATTAGCTATTTAACAAATACATTTCGATCAGAAATAAAAAAGTTGAGGATGTACGAAAGTGTGTATTTGTTTTATCATCACACCCATATTGCACATCCTAAACAATGAAGATTATAAACATGAATTAAGGGTGGGTGTGATTCTAATAAAAGATCACACCTATACCCGCACCCTCCTTTAACGTCTTATGAGAAAAGAACTTTTTACAAATCATCTGATGCGTCTCGAAACGCTCTGCAGCATGAAATATTTGACTCTTCATTTCTTAATAGATTACCTTGTCTGACAAGGTCCATTGAATGCAGTGATGAGGACTTTCGGTAAGTCAAACAGAATTATGTTTTTGATACGTTTATTCTAATTAGAGTTGAAAATTTTGACAAACAAAAAAATGAAAACGAGAAAAAAAAGGTAAGAATATGAAAGAAGGTAGCTAACGCGTGATTAATGTTTAATAATTATGATAATCGTTAATAAAATGTTCGAGTTTGTACATAGATGTGTATTTTCTCCATATATCCTACAAAGAAAAAACCATTTCTTGAATAGTTATCACCAAAACACTACGATGACACATGATACCTGTTAACACGATGGCTTACAAGTACGAACAATAGTATACCAACGAGAGCAACACTGCTCACCAGGATTACAACAAACGCTGTTAATATTAGTAGTACCACAACAAACACCTTTGCAACAATTATACATAGAAGTAGGAGCAGCATTAGGGTAACACGTTTTACCAGTACCAGTACAAGCGTTAGTAGAAGGTACTGGACAACCAGTAGTAGTACAAACATTATCACAGTAACAACCAGCACCAGTAGAAGCTTGTACACAGCCGTATTTATAAGTTTTACCACAAGCACCCGAACCAGTGCCACTACAATATATATCATAACGATTCTTAGGATCAGTGCATGCAGACTGACGCTTGCTAAATTTTCTAATCAATTCTTGAACGATAAATCTACGTTGGCTGTCTAGTTCATTATCTTCCGAATCTTCATCGCTTTCTATTGCTTTGCAGCATATTGTGAAAATAGCCAATGTAAGAATCGAATAAGCCACTACTTTAATGTTGCTCATTTTGCAATTGTAAATTGTAGAAGGGATACAAATAGATGTGTAATGATGATTTTGCATCAATACCTACTCTTATATATCTATCGATTGCGATGGAGAAAAGAAAAATAGAGAAAAAATTGTATATTCTCTGAAATAAGTAATTTATATATTGTATTTTTTCTTCTCTGTTGTACTACACGAATGAGCCTGAATCTCGTTAACTCATCAAATTTATAATACAACAAAAAAAATCATTTTGCCATGATTTAAACCCTCAAGATGGTAACGTTTCGGCATCTTCTCTAACGTCGATTTCGTATTAAACACATATGATCAACACTATTAATTTTAGTTTTAGCGAAAATATAATGTTAACAGATATTGATCATGTAGTATAATACGTTTGTTGTACATATTCATCGATTTGATGAAAAAAAAAGAGTAAAATCATTAGAGCATAACCTTGTAACAAGCAAATGAAAGTACTCATGCATATTTTCTGCGCATATTATAATGGAGAAAAAGAAAAAAAAATCGTTTATTTTATAATGATTGAGTCGATTACTCTATTGCTTTTGTGAAGAATATGTTTGATAGAAACTAGGGTTATGACCTTACCATTATCAGCCATAAGTAATAATATTTGTAAAGTAATAAAAATAATAAGAAATTTAAGTGATATGAATTTTTTTCGTAATAAGTAATAAACGTAATAAAAAGTAATGTTAATATGACACCCCTAATAGACAACTGATCAATTCATGATGTTATTTTTAAGTAATATATTAAACAATTGTATTCTCTGTGATATCTTTCATGTTATAGAAGTTTAGTGAGTCTCTCTATTGCTCTAAACTTCTTTTGTATTAGTGTGTCGAAACATAGATTCAACTCTTCAATAACTTCAAACGTTATTAGAATAGTTACGAATAAATTTCAGAAGTCTGAAATCGACACAATTCTATAATAAAATATTTATTAAATTCAAAGATTAAGAATTGACTTCATTTAGTATACATTCGCACGGATCGTTCAGATTATGGGAAAGAAATGATCATATCAACTGCGATATAATTGCAGAATGGAAAGTAAATACATAATTTATTCAAATTAATGTATTGTGTTTATTCTGCTCGAACTAGACAATAGATTTTTGTTCTTAGTGAGAGAAATAAATCTCGATGAGTCTTTCATCTACTGTTTATTTAATTATGACAGATGCACTAAAAAACATGTAGCATTTTACGGAATTATTTATCAAGATTCTATTGACAAATGATTTATTCCATTTGAATTATTTTTTAAAAGATAATATTATAAATTGAAAACAATAAGAATATAATCGATCAATCATTAAACATTCCTATTAACACATTGCCTTCATATATACAAATTATCTCATCAATTTATAGTTACATTTGTTGAGGATGGATGTGAGGATGTGATGGATACAGTACTCATATACATACTCACACCCTCAAGATTGATATTTGGAAAATAAAGCTTGCTTGTTGAATAATTGCTCAACAGTCTTCACAGTATGCATGCATGTCTCGATTTGAACGACATCCTTTTGACATGAGAGAGTTATTTTATTTTTCTCTCGTTGATTCTGACGTTTTCTGTATTCATAATTATAGAATGTCGTTCTTTTTTTTTTCTTCTTACGAAAAACACGACATCGTCATATTATCTTTCAAAAGGAAATTAAGATACGTCCAAGAAGATCAGAAAAAATGTCATGTGAAGTGTAAATACGACGAAGATGATATTCATGGTTTACCTTCATTTTTTCTTCTTCACAAAAAAAATCTTGTTGAGAATAAGCGCTGCACACAGATAAAATATTGTGTTCAAATACAAGAAATTATTCGTTCTATACAATTTAATATGGCTAGTTCAACCAATAATGTTGCATTAATGTATGAAATATATACAGTACCTGCTGCTATTCTTGCTGCTATCGTCGGTATTTTAGCGATTGCATGGCTTATACAATCTATTCAAGCATCTTTTTATCCACGTCGTTTGTTAAATCTTCTTCTTATTTCTTATGTGACTAACTTTGCTGATTTGATATTTCGCGCAACACTTTATAATTCGATATTAGATGTGACAACTACTTTAATAATCATTTCGATTCTTGTTGCTGTCGGACAACGTGTTATTATTATAGCAAATTACGTCTTTATCGGTCAAATTCTTGGTATTCAATCCAGTTTTGCTCGAGCAATCAATATTGGAACATTATTAGTTGCTCTAATTTCAACTGTTCTAGCAAGTTTTGCTGGAGTACAATCAACTAATCCAGATACGATTGAAAATAGTTTTCGTCTACGTCAAATAGCAGCAGCCATTGTTCTCTTTTTAACTTTTGCATTCTATCCAATTTGGTTCTTAAGTAAAACATTCAAAGATATGACAAAACAAGCTATTGTTCTTTTACTCATTTCAAGTCTAACCTGTTTAATAGTTGCCATCTATACTATGATCATATCAATACCTCAATACTATGTTGCGACAAGTCAACAACTAATGTGGTTTTACATCTTTCAACTGACACCTATTTTAATCGCACTCATCACTTGGGTCATTTTTCATCCAATACGAAGTTTGCCACGCACATAGTAACATCTTAAGGGGGTGTGGACAAAGGCATAAATGAGAAACAGACATTCATATTCATATTCAGAGAAGTGTCACAACAAGGAAAGCATGATTTTTGTCTGATGTTTGCATATAATAAATATCTGTGATATATAAATAGATGATGAAATTTATGTTTATCTTCTTTTTATTTTTCTCTCCTGCTGGTCTGTATAACACAAAAAACATGTATGCCAGTTGAATTGTCTATTTTTGTTTTTGAGAATGTAAAATTAATTAATCGGTGCTCATTTCATTGACATTCACGCTCAGCCCACAGTATATCCTTATAATAGATAGAAACTAATGAATTTATTGAAAAAAATTAAAATGAAAGTATAATCGAATTTTTTCGTATATTATTATAATCTTTCAAATAATCATCCATATTTTGTTGTTGTTCTTCTTCTTTGTCAATCAATGAATTTCGTCTAGTTTTTATATTTCGTTTATGAAAAACTATAATCACATTTGAAATAATATATAAGATCATTGTTACAATAATAGATCCTGTTAGAAGAGTTGGAAAATGATTTTGATTAACATCCATTAAAATACCTACAAAAAAAAGAAATACAATTTTCATTTTATATTTTTAAATATTCTATGTATTGATTACCCGCAATCTTTTGTAATACTAATGATCCTAAACCACATGCACATAGAAGTGCAGCAAGTAATGGTGTAATAACATTTAGATTTTGAGTAAACCATGCAAATGATAATGGAAAAAGTGGTGCAATAATAAGTCCAGTTAAACCACCAAGAATAAAAAGTCCTGTAATAGTAAGACCAAAAACCCATACATAAATATTCCATATTATAGCAAGAATTAAACATCCACACCAACTAATAGTTAAACATAAACAAACTGGTAAAAATATTGACAAAATAGCAAAAATTAAACGACCCATCTAAAATATATATGTATAAATAAACATCGAATTAGAAAATTCAAATACACCTTACTGAATATGAAAACCAATAAAGTATAATAGCCCAACTAGCATTATTCGTTGATATATGAAATTGATCATTTTTTAAAAATGAAAAATAAAATTTAGCAAATATTTGATCAGTTCCACTAACAAAGAATATATACATGAGAAATAATAATGAAAGTATTAAACCATATTTAAAATAACCATTTCCACATGTTTTAGGTGAATATTGACTAAATTTTATCTTATCTTTTTCTTTATCACATTGTAAAGATATTTTCTCAACAATTGTATCATCAATCTGAACATCTTTTTGAATTTCATCTTGAAGAGATTTTTGTATAAAACATATGAAATGTCCAATACTAATTACAAAACATAATATTCCAGTAATTATATAAGGAATTCGAATAGTTTTATTGAATAATTGAGAATTTTCTTGTTCATTATTTAGAAATGGACGAACAAGAAGATTAGCAAATATAGCACCAAATCCATAACCTAAATGAACTATGTTTAATGGTGTTGCAACACGAGTTTTCCACATTGTGATAAGAATATTCGTGCCTCCTATAGTAGAATTTAATATTATAAAGAGTTTTTATCGTGAACTATTTACCCATATTAGCCAAACTTCCTGAAACACCCTGTAGGAAAAATACTATACACATTGGTAATAATGAATTGACAAATGGGATAATAGACATAACTAATAAATAGAGAATTTTCAAAAAAACGATGATAGATTTTTTTTCTAGAACTTACGTAAAGCTGACATAAAAAAGGCAGTAGTTAACATTAATTCTGAATAATTATTAATAAAATTTTGAAAAATACCACAGATAATATTTGTTATCAAACCACCAGCACTTGCTGATGCAAGTACTGTTGCCATACCATTAAATGTAACTTGTATATTATGTGCAAGAATAGTCATTGTTGGACCAATTATTTCACCACAAAGTCCCTAAAAATAAACGAAGTAGTTTCATATTTTCCGTTCATTAGAATGTAGATATCTTACCAACATACACCAACTTAAAACAAGTAATATTGTTTTCATATATTTTTGTATCGTATTTTTCAGTTTTTCTGTCATAGTATAAACTTATAATTGAAAGAAATAAGTATCAAACGAACACATATTTTGAACGTATAAATATATAGAACGAGACGGTCAGTTACGCTCGAATACATTCATATCTTTCTTGTTCTCTTGCGCAAGTATACGAGTTGTGATGTAAAAATATTATAGGTAGAGAACAAAATGTATTACATAAATATCCTTATTATGAAATTTTTTTATTCAAAAGAAAAGATTGAACATTAAATATCAAACTACTGAAGATTGAAAAAAGAGTTGATCCAGTAAAATCTTCTGGAGAGCAAATTTTTCATGTGTGAAAAATGCAGTTAAAAGAGGAATAAATTAGTGTACCTGAGATACTAATTCATTATTTCAAATTTAATACATTGATGTTGTGTTTAATTATCCGTTCAAGAAATTTAAGATTTTATTTTGCAAATCAAGTTATCAAATCATCCGAGTATGTTATTGGATAAAAAGTTGTTAGCGCAATTCCTATGGTATTAATTAAGGTCACAGTAAGTAAGAGTAAAATATAAAATATTAGTTGAGAAGAGTTAGAAAAATTTAATGAAATGTCAGTTAGTTTTAATAATTATGGTGATTATCGCACCAAAACACATCAGAATAATATTCCAAGCTGAACAGAACACTGTAGCCACTCCAGATGCCAAAACCAACGATTTAAAAGTAGTCGAAACATTCATTGTCGTAACTGTTGTTGTTATTGGTTTAGCAGTAGTCGTAGTTATTATAACGTCTATAAAAATAAAAGAAATACCTTCACAATACCATTATCTGATATTTATTTATTTTCGATATATACTCGACTTTTTTTGATGTAAATTTGAAAATCAAAACAAACATCACACTCAAAAATAGAAGAATTACCAAGGAAACAGCCACCGTAGTAATTACATTAGCCTTGTTGTTATTTTTCGATGGAAAAGAATTATCTGTTGTTGGCGAAGCAGTTAATGGAACAGATTCACTCTCCTTTTCGGAAATTATGATATCCATGATCTAAAATGAAGAAATTTCAAAGATCATATTTCTAGTATTAACTTACTTTATTAGATTTTATCTCAATATATATTTATGTAGAAGAGAAATGGTGATTGTATCGTATTGATGCATAATATTATTTTATACAACGCTATATTAAGGTATTGTCTTCTCGATTTTTTTTGTCGTTCTACACAAATAGTAATTAATATTATTACCAAAATTAATCATCTGGAATGAATGTAAAATTTATAAATATTCATCATTAAATAACAAAAAGAAACATCTTCTATAAATGAATTTTGCCGTTAGTAGATTTCTATTCCAATAGTATTAAAACGGATGTTGATAATGAAGCAAATGTGAATATGATAACTGAAAAATCGAATCTATTGTATTCGGTGTTATACCACTAATGTAGTTGATTGATGGAGATAAATATATAAAAGTTTTGTCCTATAGATAAACTTATTCCGATATATTTCATTGTTGTAGATATTTCGAATCACATTGAAATCATTAAAATAATAGTCTTATTTCTATTAGTGCTGTGAAAGGTAGTGATTGATGGTTAACTTTAAAACTTGTGTTAACTATAATAAGCTCATCTTGAGGGGTAGGTGGGTGTGAGTATACTAATATCTGTCATAGGATACAACAACACCCGCATCCGCACCCACACTCACCATCAAGATGTTTGAAACTTTGTTGTTTTGAAAAGGCGACGGATGTTCATTTTATTTACAAACTAATAGTATCATTTAAAGCAAAAAACGATACTAAATGAGATATTTAATGGGAATATGTATCGAAAAAATGAACTATTTCTCATTAAGAAAAAGAAATATTTAAAATCGAGTCAAATGAATAAAATAAGACTTCTTTAATTCAATTCTTTATGTCCCAGTGATGACACATTTTTGAAAAAAACACAAATGGTTCTTTTTCCTATAAATCTATATTATTATGTTTAAAATAACCCGTACAAATTGTTTGTGACGTTCAATTTTCTGAATCTCATATTATTTCTCTAATTAATGGGTAGTTCGAGACTAATTACAAAAATCATATCTTCGGAATTTTTAAAAGAATAAAAATTTGTGATGATATTCTAACAAGTTATTCATTGCACTATGCAGAGCTTTTAGAGAAATTAATGAGTTGTTGAATTCTGAAAGAGAAAGTGATGGAAAAAAAACTTCTTTTATCTCTTCTATACTAAAATATAAAATAACTCATTAAATATTGCTCTTAAAAAGACAGTACAGTAATTGAATAGAGTGTTTTTAGAAGAGTAACTCATCAACTCAAATATTGAAAATAATAATAAAATATCAGGATTCTAAGAAAGAAAAGAAAAATCAAGGAAAAATATATTGCTCTCTCTTTTTCCTAAAAACACATTCATTTGTTTAATAGTTAACACTTATTCAACATGAGAAATATAATTGTATTTTTTATTATTATTACCCAATCAATATCACAAGATGTAGGTACATTGTTACTAACTAAATTGAACAATATTCAATATCAATGTACTGATCCTGGTTGTTCATCTTCAACTACCACTTTGGCATTGAACTTGAGAGCTTGTGAAATTGCGTGTTTAGTTAATATCAACTGTCGGACACTCACGTTTGATCAATCCAATAATCAATGTGAACTCTTCACTGATATCCCAAATCAATATGGTAGCTTGATATCACAAACAGATTTCATAACTTTGACTGTTATCGATAATAGAAAATTATCCTCTCGTAAGTATTATCAACAGAGTGAATATTTTATGAAAAAAATTCTAATATATTTGTTTTTGTTTTAGCGATGACAATTAGTACAACAGCATCCGCGTAAGTTTGAATCTTAGTATATATATTGCAAAATGCATTCATTATACACACATGCTTTGTTGTTAAATTTCTGCAACTATAAGTCTTATGAATGAGAATGAAGAAGAAAGAGAAAATAGTGTTATTTCAGAATAGTCTTTTAATGCGACTATATCGCTCAAGTTTTCCACAAAGTACTATATAAGTTCTATTTGTGAATAGATTTTAGTATGGTACTCTATCAAAAAGAAGAGTTCATTTGATTGAGGGTGTTGGTGTGGATGTTGTCGTCATCTCACATACCCATCTGAAATAGAAAGGCAGTTGCTCCTAACTATTACTACTTATTTACTTCTAATATTGTTTTTCAAATATACATACAGCCCAACAACAGCACCATTGTCATCGACAACAACAACAGCAGCAGCAATACGAGGTAAATAAAAAGATGAATCCACACCCACCAACACCCTGAATTTCGAACCTTGTCGAGTGTGCTTCAAGTGTTACTCTGAAATACCTGAAAAATTGTTTATTTTTATAGTGAATAAAATGTATCTTTTTCATCTAGTATGGTCTGCCACAGATCCTATGAATACTATGAGAAACTATCATACTGCATCTACATTAACAAATGGAAAAGTACTAGTTACCGGCGGATATAATGGTGGTGTTTTAAATAGTGCTGAATTATATGACCCATCAACAGGTACCTGGACAACTATTAATGCGATGAGTACATTTCGAAAATTTCATACAGCGACTATGTTAACAAATGGAAATATATTAATTAGCGGTGGAAATGATGGTAATGGATTTTTAACTAGTGCTGAATTATATAACTCATCATCAGGCACTTGGACAACTACAGGAGATATGGAGATTGTACGAGGTGCCCACATAGCAGTCATGTTAACAAATGGAAAAGTATTAGTTAGTGGTGGTGATAGTGGTAATGGGTTTTTAAATAATGCTGCATTGTATGATCCATCAACAGGTATTTGGACAGCTGTTAGTCCAATGAATGCTGAACGTGTTTCTCATGTTGCATGTATATTAACAAATAATAATGTCTTTGTTGCTGGTGGATACGATTATGTTTCTTTGGCTAGTACCGAAATATACAATCCCGCAACAGACATTTGGACAAATACAGCTAATATGAATTTTGCCCGACAGACGGCTACAATATCTGTATTATCGAATGGAAAAATATTAGTTGCTGGTGGAGATGATAGTGGTTCATTAACAACTGCTGAACTATATGATCCGTTGTATGACACTTGGACAGTTACAGGTAGTATGAATTGTGCTCGAAGTGGTCACGCAGCATCTGTATTACCCAATGGAAATGTATTAGTTACGGGTGGATGCGACAGTAGTAATGCTGCTGAATTCTATAATCCATCAACAGGAAATTGGACAATGACAGGAGATATGACGGATATACGTTATTATCATACAATATCGAAATTAACAAATGGAACAGTGTTAGTTGCTGGTGGTGTTTCTAGCAGTGGCAGTTATTTAAATAGTGCAGAATTATATTAATCATCGCAACAATGACAACATTTTCTATTTTAGTTTGCAACATGTATTTCTTTTTCAAATAAAAACTATTTATTCATAAATGCTTCAATAAAACTATCATTAATCATGTCTTAAACTTTTTGAGAATAGGTGTGGGCAAATAAAAGATGAATCCACACCCACCCTCCTTTCTGCTTTTTGTATGTCTGATGAGTTTCTATTCAAAAAAAGATCGAGGTATTCAAACAAGAAAACTTTTCTCAAAAATAATTATTGCATAGAGAAACAAAGAACGTGATTAAAAGTGAGTCTTGACAAAGCAGATTATTTAACAGAATCAAATAGAAAAAGACATCAAACTAATCATGACTTATTCATTGACGTCAATCATTTATTGACGATGATAGTTGATATCTTATTTTCAGTTACAACACGTCCGATGATTAATGCAGATTTTGATCAATTCTCTTTTCTCTTTATCACGTTCTTCTTCAATAAAATCAAAGATTTTTCTATAAAATCAAAAGGAAAAGAAAAGTATGATGTGGGATTTAAATTCCATTGTGTGTTTTTGAATTTCGAAAAGAATGAAATCAAATGAAAAATTATCAAACTAAATCATGAATTATATTCATTAATTCAATCTAAAATCAAGTTTTCATCTTACCTACGACGAAACCTTCTTCAGAACACTATTTTCCCCCTCTTTGTTGTTCTAGAAGAAATGATTGAGAGAGAAAGAGAGATATATAACTAGGGAGAAAATCTACAATAAGTTTCATTTTGTTTCCATCAAAGACAAAGAAGAAGAAGATTATTTTATTAGCTAACTAATTTATTAAAACAACTCTTGTTGCATGATGTTGAATATTTATGTATTTATCATCATTCTTCTGTTCATTCTCAACAATGAAACATCAGGTAAATACTTTTATTTTTTATATATTGAAGATCAGCTATTTCACAAGCGACATTATTCATTAGAGTTTTAGTTGAACAGAAGAGAGTCAAATTACAAATCACAGGATTTGAAAAGAATTCAGTGAGATTTTTCTCATTTATTCAAACGTGATGGTTCTGATCTCTTCTAAACTCAACCTAACTCACTTAGAGAATAAACGTCGGCAGAGCGATGTATTTTATTCTTAAACTGCTTTAAAGTTACGAAATCTTTCCATAACTATCAGCGATAAAATATGAGTTATATGTGTGTCACGCACTGGATGAGTCTTTGAATCGTTTATTCGAAAAGATAAATAGATTGAGCGGCTGTTTTTAGACATGAGATATTATTTCTTAGTAAAAATCATGATAACGCTTTTGATTTTGTATCTAAAATTGTTCTCAAAATCTATACTATCTAGAGATGTACCAAGCTCGAGCCTGACCGAGACTCTCGAGCTCGGATGTTAGGATGTGTGCGGGTGTGGGTTGTTGTAGGTGAGAGCGTCGGTGTGGTGAGTGCGGGTGCGATCTTTTTCATCCTTACTCACAGTTCCACCCACACTCTCACCCACAGCTTGACTCACACCCACCCACCCACGCATAGTCTTACTTACAATTTGACACACACCCACCCGCCCACAGCTTCACCTGCACTCTCGCTCACACTGTTACCCACATCCACGCACCCACACCCACACCCTGATTAAATTTAATTATTATTTGACAAAAACGGTAAAGGAAATTGATTTTGTTCAATAACAGTTTCTTTCATATCGATTTCAAATTTGTTTTGTTTAATTTGATGAGAATTTAAAAACAAACAAAAATATATTATTGATAAGAAAAAGAAAGAATATTTCTATTTTATTTTTATCTCAAAATATTTTTCTTAAAATAATTTCTTCGGATGGCTATTTAATTAAAGATTAACAGGAGAATTTTCTCCTCTTTTTCACATATTGGATTCAATTAAAATGATTTGTCATTAATAAATTCACAATGTTTTTCATATGAAAACGAGAATTCATTTTCAATTTCAAAGGCATTTTGTTTAAATATCAATCAATTTCAATAAACTCATTATTATTCTAAACAATTCTTTTCTTCCCCCTCCGAATTCATGTTCGTTGAAGAAATAAAGAAATTGATTTGATTATTTTTTTGTCTTCAATAACAATCATATCTTTTCAAGGATCAAACATAATTATTTTTCTTTTATAACAAAACAAACCAACAAAATAAAGTTGATCTTTTTCGATGAATTTAGTCCTCTCTTAGTTGATATTTACAAATCATTCGAGAATATAGAACAACAATCATAGAAAACTTTTCAAAATTAATCTCAATGAATTTTCTCAAGAAAAAACATAGATCAATAATTTCATTTCATTCACAGTTCTTCTCTAATATTCTTTATATTTTTCTCGTTTTAGCAGTTTCTTTCAATCAACCAAAGTTTTGCCCAACAGCCATGTGGAATTCTAATGGAATTACCATTGGTAATGAATCGATTGTTGGTCAATATCCTCGCGCCATTTTTGTGAGCACAAACAACACAGTTTATGCCACTAATCAAGAAGACAAAACAATTCTAATATGGCATGAAGAAAGTGTCAATCCAACAAAGATCATTTCTGGTAATTTTACAGAACCGTACTCACTCTTTGTGACATTAAATGGTGATATTTATATTGATGATGGCGAGGGGAATGGTCGAGTGCAGAAATGGAGTGCAGAATCAAATATTTTTGTTACAGTGATGAATGTCAATTCCTCATGTGATGGTTTGTTTGTCGATATCAATAATACTCTTTACTGTTCAATGTATTATTATCATCAAGTAGTGGAAAGATCATTAAATGATTCTGTGATGACTTCAAATCGTGTTGCTGCTGGCACAGGTATTAGAGGATCAGCCTCGAATCAACTCGATGGTCCTCGCGGAATCTTTGTGGATGTGAATTTGGATTTATATGTGGCAGATTGTGAAAATAATCGAGTTCAGCTGTTCCAGTCAGAAGAATCAAATGGGATCATAGTGGCTGGAAGTGGATCACGAAATTCAACAATTACACTTTTTTGTCCAAGTGGAATTGTCTTAGATGCTGAGAAGTACTTATACATTGTGGATTATAGCTATCATCGTATTGTTGGTTCAGGCTTGAATGGTTTTCGATGTTTAGTTGGATGTTATGGAGAGGGTTCACAATCCAATCAATTGACACTTCCACTTAGTTTTAGTTTCGATTATTCTGGAAACATATTTGTTACTGATCAATATAATCATCGAATTCAAAAATTTTTCCTGATGAAAGATTCTTTTGGTAAGTTGAAGAAAAGTTGAATAAAATGAAGAGATGTGAATAGATAAGTAACTGAAGTTAATAAAGACATTTTAATATAAAAAACTAAAGAAAATAAAAATAGCTGGGAAAGATTAATTAAACCAATGTGTAAAAGAATGTATTTAAGGAAACGAAATGTTCAGATTAGACAGAGCCATATATTAGTCGTTCAAAGCAAACAATCTTCGCCTTTTTGTTGAGATTAAAGAATAGAGAAAGAAAAAATTTTGTGTTTAATGAAGTGGTAAAAAGAGCTTTCATGTTTCATTTCATGTCTCAAAGAATATTTCATCAATGAAACAGTTTTTATCAAAATAAATTCTCTTCATATCTTTGTCGATATAGTTTTAACATAAATTATTCTATGACTTGACTTCATATTTTATATTTCGATATGTTTCATTCATCGAAAATAAGACAAATAAAATATCACAATTCTAACAACTAATTTTTCTCCTCTTTTATATAAAAAATAAATTTAGTCATTGTTTCTCTCTCAGAGAAATAACTTTCAATATGAAATATTATAAAAAATAAATTATCTCATAAATAAATGTTTGACTGATGATTTGTCCTTTCGATAGGGATCATGATAGTTAATTGTCAAGAATAGTATTGGGGGGTTGAATGTACTCTAGACATCTGATATATATTTATATTTCTATAACTATAAACAAAGAAAATTTTGTGTGAAAGACAAAAAATTGTTCATTTGATAAAATAGAATGATTTAGAAAAGATTTTAATTTGAAATGAGATGCTTTTATATTGAATAAAAAATATTTATTTGTTGAGTCAAATTTATTACTTAAGATGATCAATAAGGAAAATTGATTGTTTCAATCAAATCTATTCCAGATTTTTCTTTACATGAAAATTTTAGACAAGTCTATTAACAAAGTTTCAATTACATCTTTAAACTTCAATGAGAAAAAGTTTTCCGATTGATAAGGAATCTATTAGTTGTATAAATATTTATTTTACTTTTCCTTGAAGATGTTTAGTTGATGATTATTTTCTTGTTTTGTTTTTTATTTCATAAGAAAAACATTGAGATCTGTAAAATACTATTAAGATTACAAAGAAAGATTTGTTTTATTTAGGTTGATCATAGACAAGATTATGTGTGATCTTTTATGAATCTTTGAAACTTCTTGAGATAAAAAAATTTTTAGGCGAAAATGTTTATGAAGAATGTCTATAGAGATAATAGAAGAGCTTTTGAGGATCATAATAAATATTATTTTTTCTCTCATTTTTCTTTTCTTTTCATTCAGTATCGATATGACGTGTAGTGACATTATTTTTTATTTCCTAATGAGATTTAATAAGATAAATCGAGTTATGTTCTCAATAATATAGACAACTGAGATAATATAGTGATATTCATGGTTTTCTCTGACTTCTTCTCTGATTTGACTTTCCATTTCTATCAAAGGAAAATATCAAAAACTTTGAATAGATGTTTGAAAATTGAATTTTTTTTAAATAAATATTTAAAAAAAAGATCTGCAACGACATTTTTGCAGAATTATTTCTTAAAAATAAATCAGTTTTTTATTTAAATTCACCTATGAAAGGCAAATAAGATGGTCAACATCGAAATAATTGGATTGTATTCCTAAAAATCTCTTCTATTCTATTGATTTTTCTGTCTGCAAAAAGATAAATTCTTATATTTCGTAGTTTCTATAATACAATTTATTCAGATCTTTCAGAGGATTTTTCAGCAAAAGTTAAACAAGTATATTTTAACAATATCACAATTTCAATTTCATGTCAAAAGTAATAAAAATCATTACCAAAAATGAATTTTGACAAACATTTCTAAATATTTTTGTAATCAAAAACTTCTTTGAAGGAACTATATTTTTCTGCTAAGAATATAGAAATTAACAATTTCATTTCATTCACAGTTCTTCTCTAATATTCCTTATATTTTTCTCATTTTAGCAGTTTCTTTCAATCAACCAAAGTTTTGCCCAACAGCCATGTGGAATTCTAATGGAATTACCATTGGTAATGAATCGATTGTTGGTCAATATCCTCGCGCCATTTTTGTGAGCACAAACAACACAGTTTATGCCACTAATCAAGAAGACAAAACAATTCTAATATGGCATGAAGAAAGTGTCAATCCAACAAAGATCATTTCTGGTAATTTTACAGAACCATATTCCCTCTTCGTGACATTAAATGGTGATATTTATATTGATGATGGTGAAGAGAATGGTCAAGTGCAAAGATGGATTGCTGAAACAAATACCTTTGTCATAGTGATGATTGTCAACTCACCATGTTCTGGTTTATTTGTCGATATCAGTAACACTCTTTACTGTTCAACGTCTGTGAATCATCAAGTAGTGAAAAGATCATTAAATGATTCTGTGATGACTTCAAATCGTGTTGCTGCTGGCACAGGTATTAGAGGATCAGCCTCGAATCAACTCGATGGTCCTCGCGGAATCTTTGTGGATGTGAATTTGGATTTATATGTGGCAGATTGTGGAAATAATCGAGTTCAATTGTTTCAATCGGGAGAATCAAATGGTATTACAGCGGCTGGAAGTTTCACATATCCTCCAACAAATTTTCTTAATTGCCCAAACGCAATTGTCTTAGATGCTGAGAAGTACTTATATATTGTGGATTCTTACACTCATCGTATTATTGGTTCAAGCTTGAATGGTTTTCGATGTTTAGTTGGATGTTATGGAGAGGGTTTACAATCCAATCAGTTGGATGGTCCATTTAGTTTGAGTTTTGGTCGTTCTGGAAACATATTTGTTACTGATCAATCAAATCATCGAATTCAAAAGTTCCAATATATCGAAGAATCATGTGGTAAGTTAAAAATGATCGAATGGAGTCTCTAGTATCATTTCAATTAATATTTATTCAGAGAATAAAAAACAAAAAACTATCATAGCAGATGAAAGTCAAGCTTCGGATGAATTTCGAACTGAATTATTGAATAGTTAAATCCAAATTTAAATTCCAAGAGCCATCCTAATATACTAGTGTTATAAAATAAAAATCTTGTATACGAGATTTTATAACGTTTCTTTATTGTAATTATTACAACATCTCCTGGAAAGAACATGTGGATTTTAAGGGCTAACATCGATACTTACTGTAAGGATACTAGATTGATATTTTATTTCATGTTTTTCTTCATTTGTCTATTAAAAGCATTGCTCTGAAACAAATGATTCAACTCTTATTAGTAAACAGAGTGAAAAGCAAACTAAGGATATATGCCATCATTTCTTTTCTTTATTGAAAATATAAATACGCATTGATTTTTTTTTCATTTGATAGATAATTCATTATTGATAAAATCAATGTATTTATCATCGTTGACTCTAAATAGTTCAATTTATTTTCATGTGTGTTCAGAGTTACATTTGTATTATGAAGCGATACAAATGAACGTTACTATAACTGGATATTATACTTTTTTAATCAACAGCGAGATGAAAGATATGTACGCTTATGTCTATACAGATAACTTCAATCCATTTGATGCGTCCAAAAATGTCCTCAGCCATAGCGGAGACTCTGGTAATCAAGGTCAAGTTAAAGTCACAGCTGCCCTTCAAGCCAACATGGCATATGTTGTCGTTATAACAACATCTTCTCAGGATTTAATGGGGAACTTTTCAATTCAGGGATCTGGTCGAAGCCGTATTGATTTCAATCGTATTTGTGAGTATCTATAGTATTTTATTGGATAGTCAACTGCACATATTCATAATCGATAAAAAATATAGATAAACTCAATCTAAAAATGATATACAGATATTTCTACTTGATAGAAACTAAGACTCATATCATTTCCAGTCGCTTTCAGTAAATGTATGTGAGGGAGAGAAAACAATATTTCATATTGTTTACACTTGTTTTCATATAATACAAAATTGAATCAGTTTTCTTTTCCATTAGTAAATACTTCATCAGCTGTTCAAACAGTTTATGCATCAGAATTGACAACGAATAGTTCAACGTATTTCCCTCACTGTTATAGTTCAAGGTCTTACTATGAAGCGATAGAAGTCAATGTCACTAGAAGTGGTGTTTACTTTTTCTTCAGCAAAAGCAATATGGGCACATACGGCTTTATTTACAAAGATTATTTCAATCCGTCTAGTCCGTATGAAAATCGACTCGCAGTCAATCAGTTCTTCTGCACTGCATCGCAGTTTAGCTACACAATTGCTCTTGAAAATAGTATTACATATATATTGGTTGTGTCAGCGGAAAACAATTCTATGACAGATGCATTCTCGATCTTTGTATCCGGCCCAGATCATGTTGGTCTCAAGAATATTAGTAAGTGTTTGTACTACAGCTATTAAATGAATATCTATCAACGTTAGCATGAGGATTTAGTTGAGTTTGTCATATCAATAAATAAAAACTTGTTTTGTAAGATGATATTTGTATTATAAGAAGAAAGCTCTATATAAATAGCTACATTGAATTCATCAAATAACAGAATATTATGAATAGAATCCGAAGAACTTCTCTTGAATTTGGGTCTTTGGATGAATCTAAATGATATCGTTACATACTTTGGTTTTTGAAATAATTACAACGGTAGGAGAATTAGACTATAAATAAACAATTTTTCCTATCTAAAACGTTGAGACATTATCAGTTTTCGGAATAGAGAAGTTATTCCAAACTCATCCGTGACGTATATATTTTCGAGGGTTCGAGTACAGCAAAATATTTATAGATTCTATTTTCATGCTTCATCCACAGCTAAATTGTTTAATTGAGAGCAATATTATGAAGAGTTATCTCTTCGGAAATGTACACTTGATGTTATCATTTTCTTCCAAACCCAGGATGTAAGACGGATGACTTGTGATGTTCAATCTTCACTTTCACACGCACAATATTTCTCCTTCTCTGAGTCAGTCGATATCTATTATATACCTTCATTGCTTTCCTGATTTCATTATATAGGCTCTTCATCAGCCATCCGAATTCCATATTCATCAGATATACAATCGAACTATCCATTACAGCTGATAACAAATAGTCAAACATATTCTCGAGATTGTCGAAAATCAAATTATTACTACCAAACTCTACGAATACATGTAGTGGAAACTGGATACTACGCTCTGAGAAGCTCTAGTAGTATAAATACATTTGGGGATATTTACAAAGATGTTTTTAGTCCAATGAATCCTTTCGAGAATCTACTCTCACAGGATTATAAAGCATGTAGTTATCAAGATTTCAACTTCATCGCTTATCTTCACACTGGAACGACATACATATTAGTGGTGACAACATCTTCTCCAAACATAACAGGAAAATTTTCCATTCTAACATCTGGTCCAAATAATATCACTCTGGATCCTTACAGTAAGCATTTTATGTTATTTGTAAATCATCAACAGAGAATTACAACACCCCACTGAACTCTATTTTCACTCTTGAATAATAAAAGATTTTATAGTTTCGAATAGATCGTATAATTCAATAGAGCGATTGTCAAAAAAGAGAATCACATCAGAACTCTCTCTTTTAAAAATAGTCAATTTTCTTTCAATCAAATAAGATTAAGTCTCAGTATTGTAGCTTAGTCGTGATTAGATGGATTGTACGAGTTCAACCAATTGGGTGAATTAATACAACTTTTCTTCTCGCATCAACGATATATTTGAGAAAACCTATTGTCTAGTGATTTCACACTATCTGAGATTTTATTACGTTGCAGTCTTTGAAAATTTATCGAGTTCATATGCAGAAACATCTTCAGGGACGTAACGAGGTCTTCAAGGCAGGGGGGGGCGCAAAACCTCAGTACTTCAAGTTCTAAATGCAGGGGGGCGCAACACCATTTTTGCTTAAATCTAACACCAAAAACCACGTAAAACCCTTGTTTTTGATTTTAATGACCAAAAAAAACTAAAATTTTCCAAAGCAGGGGGGCGTAACACCTCACGCGTCCGCTAGTCGCTACGCCCCTGAACATCTTTACAAAAATGAATAAATTCTTCATGAGACAAGGAACAAAAATTAGGAATATACAAATCTAGTCTCGACACGATATGTCATGTATAGATAAATGGCTTTCATAAACTATTGTTACTTATAAACTTACGCTGATATTGCTTTGTTAAGTTGAGAACGGTTTATCTTATCTCTTTATGACCATGTATTTTGTTCTCTAGCTCAAATTCTGATCAGTTGTTTCATTGGTCAAAAATGTCAGTTTTACAAAAAAAGTATCGGTGTCACTCTTGATGACATTTTACGTGACGAAATTCGATCGAACATGACAATGGCTGATCAAACAGTGCTGATGAAAATTAATGCCGCTTTAACAGTGGTTATGTTTGTTGGAGGTTTAATCAATAGTATTTTGTCAGTACTGACATTTCAAAATAAAGATTTACGACAAGTTGGATGTGGCATTTATCTCTTAGCATCATCAATTACATCTTTTCTTACAATTAGCATGTTTACAGTGAAGTTTTGGTTTACTGTTCTCACTCAAATGAATCTGTCGATCTCAGTTTCTGTTGTTCGAGGAGGTTGTGTATCGATCGAACCTCTTCTCAAACTTTGTCTATATTTGGATGCTTGGCTCAATGCTTGTGTGGCCGTTGAAAGAGCAATTCTCGTTTTTAAAGGAATCAACTTCAATAAACAAAAAAGTCAACGTATTGCTCGATGGATAATTTTCATCTTACCATTCTGTGTCATGGGTTCAATCATTCACGAACCTATACATCGCGAGTTACGTGAGGTAAATCCGGAGACGAACAAAGTAGATATTGATAGATGGTGTATAACTCGCTATTCTCCTTCTATTCAACAATACAATACAATCATTCTATTTTTTCATCTTGTTGCCCCATGTATTATCAATCTTTGTTCTGCTTTATTTATCATATTTGGATCAGCCCGACAACGATCAACAGCTCAAACAAGACTAACTCTAAGAGAACATATTTATAATCAATTTAATGAACACAAACAACTATTAATTAGTCCGATTATTCTTCTGATTCTGTCCTTACCCCGTTTGATTATGGCAATGTTATCAGAATGTGTCAATCCATCGAACAATCGATTGTTATTTATTTCTGGCTATTTCATTTCATTTACTCCATCGATGCTTATCTTTATTGTTTTTGTCCTTCCTTCAGCGTTGTACAGAAAAACATTTCAAGAGTCATTCAGACGATGGCGACGACTCATTCATCAATAATTAATATTTCTTTATTATTTCGGAATTTTTCTAATTTACTAGTAATAGTATTCGTTTCGATTTGGCAATTAATCGATAAATGTTAATCAAACAGAACATTCTCCATCTTTTACATAGGACTATCGAATGACGAAAGACAAACTTGATATATAGGTGAAGAATTATTCTCCGCACTCACCCACGTTCATTTCCACATGTCTTCATACGCAGCCTTGGTTTTAAAAAATCGATGAAGATATTAAGACAGAGTCATGCAAGTTTCGATAGCGTTGTCTCCGAAAAACTTCTTATTTCAATTTTTCAGCTTCTTACGTAATAAAATTTTATGTCAGCGAAGTTTTCATCTCTGAAAATATTAATCATATATTGAGTGTGAGTGTGAGTATTCTGTTTCGCTCTAACTTACACTCACACCCTCAAGATTGTTACTCACCTTACAATCATTAAACTGTTATTCGTTTAGAATTTGAATTAATTAACTACTAACTCATGCATATTCTGTATTGTCTATCAAAGTACTATTTACAATGGTCTTTAATAAATACAAGAAATATACAAATTATTTTATATTATTTCACACATATCATGGAAAGAACTGGTGGAATATATTTGATCCATTCGATTTCAAATTCTAATTTTATTTGAGGGTGTAACTGTGGATATTCTATTGCAGCTACACCCTCAATGTCTGATTTCATTAATAATATTGTTATAGATATTACTGAATCTATATAGTACGATAAATTGCTTTTCAATAGATTAAATATGCTACACAACAATTACAATACTAGATGATATTTAAATTTCATTCAACTGCGAAATGAGTATTCATTTTCTGCAGATGACTATATACAACAGAGTAAGTGTTCCTAAGAAATATTTGTGATCTAATACAATCTATACTCTATCGTTATTTGTTTATATGAAAAAGTTACGTTTTCATCAACTAATCGAAATTGAAAAGAATTCAATAGTAGACATGACGAAATTTATCAGTCTCTCTGTCAACATGTTTCTAACGAAAATCGTCGACTGATCATTTAATTGAGTTTCACCCATACCCACCCACATCCTAGAACATTAAAATAATTTATTGAAAGAAATAATAATTTTAAAAACTATCAAAATAAATGACATATCGTATATCTACAAGTAGTATCAATTAAAAATAAAAAATGTGGAATAATTGATCTTGATATTGTTTTATCTATTGTATCTACTGATGAAATAATCCTAAATAGATCGGTATTATCTAAAGTAACACCTGAATTTATATACTCCATCATTTACTTTCATCTTTCTATGTGTACCTTAACTCTCTTTAAAAGGAAGCCGCGCTACCATCACTGAGACTCCTTCTGAGAAATACACATCGCATTTATCGAATATTTAGATTTTTATTATCGCTTAGTATTGTTCTGAAGAATCATTATTTTCAAATGGCAACAGATGCTCTTATTGATTAAATATTTTCTAAAAATAAAAGAGAAGGTAACAAGTTGTTTTTATTCGTCACGTTAAACAAATATCTTTAAATATATCCACTCATTGCGTATATAACATTTGCGCATAATAATTGATAAAAAGAAAGTTTTTCAATGAAGTTTTATGCATCGAAATTAAAGATTAAATGTATTAGAATTGAATCGAATAGCTGTACTTGTTATCGTTGAATTTCTATTTGAAATAACTGCAAACTGTTACCAATATGTAAAAAGAGCAAAAAATAGAAAATAGATTTGTTTTATCATATTAATTGGATATTTGATGAATGGATGCATCTGTTGTTTTATAGAAACTATCCATTTCAAAGCAAATTTAACGATAATGGTAGACTCATTCACATCTCATATAAGTATATAAGGACGTGGAAATATCAGGACAATTATTTACTTTCTACTTTGATTTATTATATTTTTCAGTCGTTCAACAAAAAAATGTCTTCATATTGCCTCGTATTTGTGGCAATTATAGCTGTAATCAGTACCATCGTTGTTCATGCTCAATTTGATGACAGTAAGTGTACATCTACACTTTATATTTTTATAATGAGTTAATTTATTCCCATCAAACGCAATAATCACTGGCGAAAGTTTTTTATTTTCAATACCCTAAATTTGTCATTATTTTTATTTCGCTCACAGTGTAAGTTACAAACATTAAGATTAGTTACAGATTCTTGTGGATTCACGGGAAGAATTTCTGTTACGTGACCTTTTGTAAGATTCGTGAGACGAAAAAAGTTTCTGTATATAACCACGTAACCGTTTAGATACCATACGAATTTTTGAGGATTTACTACAAAAATGTTCCGTGTATCGACGAGGGAAAACCATTTAATGCTTCGCAGTTCGTACCAAAGTTAAAATCGACCCACCTCTTAATACAAGTAAATCGTTGTACTGTTACTTACGTAGATATACTCCTGTAACTTTATCCTTGGAGACACATCTTAATAATTGAACTTCTAGACCTACATGTTCACAACTATAGCTTTAAAGCAGTGTCTTTAGCATTTACATCTATATAAAGTGTGTTGAATAAAACGACAAGAGTTGGTTTTGAGTATACAAATGACACAAGTCATTATCGTACCAAAAGGCGTAGGCAATCATTCTCATTCGAGCGAGTTCGTATTAAACTAATGTGTTGACCATTAAAATTATGATTTTTTACTTGTGCCTACAGTTTGCTGAGCGCACCTATATGGTGTTAAACCGATAGATAGCATGATCGAATAAAGTTATAGGATCATGTAGGATCGTACATCGGACTTGTTGATTTGGAATGTCGCTTATATGAAGTCTTTATTAGTTAAATCTGAATAGAAAAGAAGTTTTGGCGTGAAAAATTTTGACTCCAAAAGCATGTACTCTTTGTATTGCTAACTGGTCAACTTTGAATATAGATAGATCATAACTTCGTATTAGAAGATTTGAATTAATATTAAATTACTAATTTCTTTCAGCAATGATGGCAGTAGATTTCGATGGTCCACCTCCACCCAAATGTCCGACTGCAGATTCAGATACAATGACAAGCTCAATCACTATTCCCGGTGTAGATTTGGCATTACTGAGAGCACAAAAGAATTCTTTTGAATCATGTTTTACCAGCCAGTTACAATTATCATCGCCTTCAAATATTAAAGCGTCAGTGGAGGTGCATAAAATCCAACAGTTAGACAGTGGTGACTGTAAAATATCATACAGATGCTCAGGAGTCGGTGATCAACCTTCAGCTGAAACTTGTTTGGGAACAATACCAAATAGTGATGCATTCCAAACCATCCTTGCAAAATGTTATCGCGTCCAAAGTTAGTGAGTGAAATGATAGCGAGCATGTTGATGAAAGGAGACAGAAAGTTGTAAAGTTATAAAGATCATATTTTGTGTGATTGAACTGTATTTTCTCTTTGTCTTCTCTATGCTCTACTATTCTATGGAGATGGCTTAAAGATTTTCTTTTCTTCGTTGTATTCATGCGTTCGTTTTGATTTCTAATTCATCATATATACACATCCATGATTCTTTCGGAATAAAACGATGAAGGATACTATAGGGAACAATCATCTCACTAAATTAAATAATCAAGCTTCAATAACAATGAAGAAAGTAGTTGAAATATCAAATGGGTGTAAAAAATGCTTTCTATGTCTTATGATACTTCAAATTTCTTGAACAGAAAGATACTATACATGATAAAGATAACAAATTCATATTAATGTGATGATCATTTCGTACATATTGCTGCTTCGATTTATTTGATTTTCATCTAGAGATCTAAATTGAATCTTATAATGGGTGTTGTTTCAAAATTTTAAATTCTGTACATCGTCAATAATAGAGGAAGCGTTGAGGGTGTGGGTGTGGGTGTTAGGGCTCTTCTTCTCTTAGAACTACACATCCATCCTTTCAAAGAAATAAGCTGATCAAATTCTCTCTAATATGTCTACACCGTTTACTTGTTGTGTCTTCGATGATTAATAAACTTCAAGTAAATTTTTTCCGGATTTCTTACCAACACGAAAGTTTTCACTCAGCATTACACTCTTTGATGGAAAATTGTGAAAACAGATTTTTATAAAATAAAACAGATGATGATCTGTCTTTCCAAAAAAGATATATTGATTATTAAGTAGTCTCAATTTATGAGTAGAAGTTATTGAATAAATAGAATTAGGTTTGTGAGTTAATTTCAACAAGCCAATAAAACGCTGGTATTGTTACTCCATTCATTTGTGACTATAATGTCGGGTTTGCTGTCGTTATTGATATCGACCACTACCACTTCTCGGGGATTGTTGCCAGTTAGGTAAGTTGCTTGTGCAGTAAATATACCGTTACCTATGTTGAGAAGAATACCGACATTATTACTAAAATAGTTCGCGATAATAATGTCAGGTTTGCCGTCATTATTCACATCAGCCACTGCCACATTTAGCGGATGGGATCCAGTTGAGTACGTTGTTTGTGCAGTAAACGTGTTATTACCTGTGTTGAGAAGAACACCGACGGTGTCACTACCGGAGTTTGTAACAATAATGTCTGGATAGCTGTCGCTATTAACATCGGCTATTGCTATACCGTAAGGACTACTGCCAGTTAAGTAAGCTGTTTGTTCACTGAAAGTGCCGTTACCTATGTTGAATAAAACACTAACGTAGTTACTATCATAATTTGGAACAATAATGTCTGGTTAGCCGTCTTTATTGACATCAATCACTTCTACACTGTATGGATGGATGCCAGTAGAGTAAGTTGTTTGTGAAGTAAATGTACCGTTGCCGATGTTGAGGAGAACACCGACATTGTTACTACCAGAGTTCGGAACAATAATGTCTGGTTTGCCGTCATTATTGACATCATTTATTACCACATTGTATGGACCTGCGCCAGTAGAGTAAGTTGTCTGTGCAGTAAATGTACCGTTGCCGATGTTGAGGAGAACACCGACGTTGTTATCAAAAACGTTTGAGACAATAATATCAGGTTTACTGTCGTTATTGACATCGACTACTTTTACACTGTTTGGCGATGTGCCAACTGAGTAAGTTGTTTGTGCAGTAAACCTACCGTTGCCGATGTTTAGGAAAACACTGATAGTGTTACTTTTAAGGTTTGTGACAATAATATCGGGTTTACTATCATTATTAACATCAACTACTGTCATACCGAACGGGCCTGAGTCAGTTGAGTAAGTTGTCTGTGCCATATATATTGTATTGCATTGAACTATTGCAAAGAAAAATTATTTTTTAGCATATATGCGGAGATTAGGGGTACACACAGTTCAGTTCATGAACCCCGTTCAAATGAACTAAAGAACCGATCACATAGCTCATTTCAACGAACTGAACTTATTAAAACCGTTCAGTTCACGTGAACTGAACTGTCTGAACAGTTCATTTCAACGAACTGAACCTAGTGAACCAGTTCAGCTCGCCGAACTGAACTGTATAAACAGTTCATCTGAACGAACTGAACCTAGTAAACCAGTTCAGCTCACGTGAACTGAACTGTATGAACAGTTCACCAGAACGACCTGAACCTACTGAGACAGTTCAGCTAACGTAAACTGAACTCTCTGAACAGTTCATCCTGACGAACTGAGCTTCCTAAGATAGTTCAGCTCACACGAACTAAACTG